TGTAGGGAATGAATGTGTTAAAGTTATAGTGAAACGCAAATATCAGCTGAGAATATTTCTGAGGGATTCACATTGTTCTACATTGTTGTAGATTAGTGCTAGATTTATCCGTGTCTTTCTTAGTGTGACATCTATTTGTTATTTGATTGAGAGCGTATTTTCCACATTGTAGTAGCTTTCTATGTTCAATCGTGCGGGATTTAGCCGCATCTTGACATCTACTGTGTTATCTGATCTAGAGCACATAATATTTGACAGTATGATGTCTGATGTCTGACCCAGTCTGGTTCCATCTTGCTATGTTCAATAAATAATGAGTGATCATTTCTTATTGAGTTGCAAATCAAGTTTCTAGAGTTGTTATTTTATCACTCAATGATTAAATGAAGATGAACTGCTCCTAAGTAGCAGGAAGAATGCATTGACAAGAAAATTCAAGACAATGTGTACAGAAATGGATTAGTTCATTTTTCTGTGAGTTGGTGTCCAACCCAATGCAAGCATCCTTTGAAGCATGAACATCGTTTCTTTTGTGTTCAGCTTAGTATTCAGTGCTTACACAAACACACACACAGATGCACATGTACATATTGGTGAATATACACGGATGTCACAGAATATGTTAATGCTTTATCTCATACATTTTACAGCATATGTCACTATTTTCTTTTTCCTTTGGGGAGGGTTTTTTTTTTTTTTTGCCCATAAATAAGTGATTGATCTGCATCATATAGTGTGTGTGGAATTAGGTCGTAAATGCTGCCAGAAAGAGGCAGGATATTCTGGTTCAAGTTGGACTGGAGTATAGATACATGCCACCTGTTGCTAAACTGATAGAAATAGTGAAGGGCGGAAGCCTTGGACAGGTCAAAATGGTGGCAATCCGTGAACATCGTTTTCCTTTCTTGGTTAAGGTATGTAATGCAAGTGAATTTTCAATATTCATCCTGTTGCAGTTCATCTTATGGAACCATGCTTGTAATAGGTCAACAATTGGAACCGGTTTAACATTAACTCTGGAGGGACTCTGGTAGAAAAGTGCTGCCACTTCTTTGATCTGATGAGGCTGTTTGCTGGTGCTAACCCTGTTCGTGTGATGGCTTCTGGGGCGATTGATGTTAACCACAAAGATGAAATATATGATGGAAAGGTAATTTAACTTTGACTGAGATTTGAAATATGTCATTCACTTTCAAGGTCAAAAGATGAAGTATGTATTGACCTGATGTGCCAAACACAATTTCAACTATTGGCTTTTGTTTTAGAAGGATTAGATTGCTTTCAGAATTAAAAAGTCATAGAGAGAAATTCAAACCAAACATGCTTTTAGTTAGTTATGCAGTAAGGTTCACTAGTTAGGGCAATGATTTTATTCAAATAGAGCAGTCCAGTCTTTGACTAAGAGACCATTGTCATGCCTGAAAAATGGACTTTTTAAGCTTACTCAATTTTAAAGAGGACTATGTTTGTGAAAGTTAAAAGCAAAAACATTTTGAATTGTTCTATTCTTTGGAGCACTAGACTATTCATTACATATGTCTTTTTCTCTTGTTTTGCTTAGGTACCAGACATAATTGACAATGCATATGTTATTGTCGAATTTGACAATGGTTCTCGCGGGATGCTTGACCTTTGTATGTTTGCTGAAGGGACTAAAAATGAACAAGAAATATCTGTTGTTGGTGACATAGGAAAGGTAGCTCTCTGTCTCTATCTCTCTCTCTCTCTCTCTCTCTCTCTCACAGAACAAGATGCCCTTCTATTAGATTAAGGCCCCTTACTGCTGACCATTATTGGTAATGAACCAATGTGACATCCCACCATTGTCTCTTTGCAGTACAATCATTAGATTGCAATTTCCCTGACCTCTACTGAACGCAGCTGTCGGTTAGGTTATGCTTGCAGGTGGCTTTTCCTGTCATTTTTATTCAACTAACAAACTTTTAACAGGGGGAGGCCTTTGTTCCTGAGAGTATTGTTCGTCATGGTACTCGAGTGGGAGGGAGAGATGGTGTCCAGACTTTAAAAGCTGAGAATGATCAAATAAAGTGGGTTTCTTTTTTCTCTTAGTTTCAACTGTTCATATTTTGAACTGCCCCATGGGCATTGTTCAAGTCTGTGGGAAATTTCTCACAAATGCCTACCCCTTTAATGTGATTCTGAATCAACTTATGTTTCAGATATGATGGGCTGCATCATGGATCTAGCTATTTGGAACACCTGCACTTCTTATCTGCAATAAGGGCTAAAGCAAAAGCGCCTGCTGTAGATTTGCATGATGGATTAGTTTCAGTTGCCATCGGAGTTGCAGCACAGCTTTCCATCGAGAAGGGCCGATTTGTGACGATTGAAGAAGTCATGAGTTAGCGGAATTGTAAAGTTTCTGTATAGGTCTTGAATCCTTGTCCAAACAAAAAATGTATAGGTCTTGAATCCCTGATGTTGCCTTTGTGGGTTGTGGGGAAACTCTTGTTAACAGTTTCTCCTTTCCCTATTTGAAGCATATGCAAATTAATGTTTTGTTCATCTATTAATAAAATCCCATCAAATAGCTTTGACTGATTTCCTTGTCGTTAATTTTGTGAAATCATCACTTCCATTTTATATGCATTCATCAATCACCACTTCATTTAAAAACGAAAATTAAGATGTCGAAATTTGGAAGTAACTAAAATTAATTATAAGTGTACATTGAGTAATGCAAATTTGGAACTAACTAAAATTAACACGGTCCTAACATGAATTTCTTGCTCATGAATCCTAAATTTGTATGAAACTGTTTATGCCACATGGCAGTATAAAGTGGTAAAACGAATTCAATTACATTTACCTGCACTCGAGTTCCTAAGTTCGATTCCCTCTTCCAATATTGCTTGTATAAAAATAAAAAATAAGAAGTTTGTGTTGATTTTAATTTTGGCCAAAGTTAGAAAGGGAATGGGAAAACTCACACACGGATATCATAAGGCTTGAATTCATGACCACTTAAAAGCACACTAAAAGCCTAGTTGAATCCCACTCCACTCCATTGGTTCGTGGTGAATTCAAAATAATAAAATTAGAGTGCTGCTAAATGAACCCTAAAATTAACTGAGTACACCATACTATAAAAGTATATATTGAATTACTGATTTACCCTAATATAAAATGACCAAAAAAGATATATGGAATTGTGAAACAAATATAATTTTAATAAATACACCCTACTAACCATATTCAACCCTAATCAAGAGATTGCTTGTCATATTATGTTT